ACAGGAAAGATACTTGGCTTTGGACAATGGTATCAACATGCCATCGACTGCTCTAGGAAGAGTCCGTCTGCGGAGCAAACTGCTTCGCAAAAGCTGCTGCGACAGCCGTGATTGCCATCAACTCTCAAGTTGACAAGCAGCGTCGTTTTCTCAAGATTTTCTAATGGAAACGCGCAGTTGGTTCTACATGGTATTGCCGTGTGGCAATGTGCCGTACCCTGGTACACAATCTGGACAACATGCTTGGCTGCTGCTATGTTGTACGGAGTATAATCACTATACGGAGGGGATGTGCGCCTGCAGTCTGGCTGGGTGTATCGGTGTGTGACCGCTGCGCTCTCAAAATCATACGGAGCTGAAGAACTGCAACGTGCAAAACTTCCTAGCCTCGGTGAAGCTAGCGGCATCATTAGCTATAAATATAACATGGTACAAATGTGAATCAGGCCCGGGTAGCTCAGTCGGTAGAGCGCCAGGCTCTTGACCTGGTGGTCGTGGGTTCGAGCCCCACCTCGGGCGCTATTCGGGCAAGCTTTTTTTCCTGACTCAACGCAAGGATATTCAGCATCTTTGGCGGTTGACACCCTCGCCATGGATACCTCAGGCTGGACAGACCCGACTTTGATGCCATTGGGAAACGCTCACTTCCGCTTTAGGCTTTCTCAATAAGTAGGCCATGGTCATTCTTCGCCACTCACAGAAGCGTGGCCAGGGTGACTGCGCCGCTGGCAGACTTGGCGCAAATTTGGCTGCTTGATCTGTGCATCCACCAGCTGTGCATATACTTTCCGGTCAACCCTTCACCGTGCATGAGGTCCAGCGGCCTAGCTTTCAAAACAGCGCAGGGGGCCGGATGGCTGCCACAAGCTGCCACCGCCTCCGCGGAGCGAGGAGGCCGCGCCACGGAGGCCAGAGGCGCGCTCTGGAGTGCAGATTCCGGCGACCCGAGGGTGTTATTGTGGCTTTGGCTGTGAGGGTGCGCAACCAGCGCGGGGCGGGGGAGGTGCCGGCTGGCCCAGCTAGCTGCACTCAAATTCGGCCACCTGTACAGGCCACAGGATCCCGCATCTTTGTGTGATCCCGCAATCTTCGCCGTCGAACGGTGAGGGCGGTTTGTGGGGCGACTGCGCACGGCCGAGAGGCAGGGGGCCGTCGATCGGTCCGCCAATCGTAACCTATTGGTGTTGCGCCCAGCGGCATCGCCAGAGGCCCAGCCCTGCTGGTCGAGACACTTGCACTGTTCTTGGCCAGCCACCGCAGCAAGGAACGCCCTCCCCTTGGAGCAAGGAACGCCCTTCCCCTTCCCACCATTCGCCAGGCACAATACACGCCGTACACAACCAACTGATTATCCTTGCATTCCGTGTGCAGCAGCAGAAAACCAACCTCCCTGGGGTGCAATTAGGGGGGAGGCGGGGGGTAGGGCGTTAAGTTACAGTTGCTGCTCAAGGGCAACAGTTTCATCTTGGCACTGCAGCAACATCCAGTACAGACACGTGCCTGGAAGCGTTGCAGGTGCAAGGGCTGCCTCTTGCCATTCTAGAGCAAATGCATGTATGCTTTACACACAACAGGGCCAATTGGACGCCGATTGGACGCCTCTGAGGCAGTACCAGTGTGCCAGCACCTGGCTGTGGCGCTTCCACAAGTGCTGCAAGGCTCTGTGCTCTCCTGAACATGATTGCCAAACTTTGCAAGACTGTTATTGTCGCAGAGGAAAGTTGCCAGTCTTCATAATGCTCCCAATCTGCAACAATGATGCCTGCAAGTTTCTTGGCCAGTTGCTTCTGCCATTGCCTTTGGGCAGGTGGTACATGTGGCCATGTTCGCAGAGCAGGCCATGCGAGGGCTGCTGTTGCCAGTAAGGTGCCAGTTGATGGGTACGAAGAGTCCATTGTCAAGGTTCAGCTTGCATCAGTGCACACATACCCCCATTCCAATACGCCATCCCAGAAGCTCAAGCACCTGCACACTCAAAAATGCTACAATCGCATGTTGCAGAAATGGCCATCAACATGACAGCCCTCTCCTGGCATACCAATGCAGCCACTGGAACCTCTCGTCCATTGGCAGCACCTCACCGATTCTCGATTTTGATGCCAAGAGAGCCTGCTGTATGGCAGGTTCCCATATTCCCAAGCACAAGAACCTCTAATGTCAAGTATGTACAATTCGCCATACAGCAGGCTCTACGTGTTGGATGCACTACCTATGTCTCAAACATCTCCGGTGGTCCATCCCTGGCTACAATCAGCGTGTCGTTTCGACTGTCTTTTGCCACGCGGATGTCGTCATCCACATACACCGTGTCGAACCTGCAAAATAGCCACAGATCAGTTTTGCAAATTGGAGATGGGCGGGGATGGCAGCACACAGCAGCTGGAATGTGTTGCAGAATGCAAAACAGAAACCATGCGCTGCCAGGCAGAAGCCAACCCTCAATCAATTCGTCGATCAAGTAATCCATCAACTTATATTAATCAATAAATAATGGCACAATGAGATAATATGACAACAAATGCTTGGCTGCTGTAGTAACTGTCATCGCGTTTCTGGTACAAGTCCTTTTGTAATGTCTTGCTGGATTCAATCAACAGAATTCGCAAATGAGAAAAGAGAAACGAGAACACCAACTGCCCTGGCAATAGTGCAGTGCTTGCTCATATTCTCAATAGGTGGCGGCTCTCAACAGCACTCTGTGCAACACAGTCACACCACATCTTATAACATATTCACTTGCTCCCAAAAGTCGCATTTGTAAGTTCATAAGAGACCAAAGACCATCGAAGGCAGCATTGGTACTGATGCATCTGAATGCTGTCCCTATCAACTGTGTGAGCAGCTCACCATCCTTTGCCATATGGGGGAACTGGCAACTGCATGCCAGGCACCTTTAAACAAGCCGTCTTGAACTCGAAGGCCACCCTCTTGTCATCAACCACCTCTATCGATGAGTCTACGACAAAGGAGCCAGTGGGTGGAAACGTGATAACGTTTTGCAGGCGGCCCTCACCCACGTCAATTATCTTCATGAGGCACAAAGAATGTCAGCAGCGATGAGCCCCATGGGCAGATTTTGCCACTGCTATTGCCTTGCTGTCAGCCACTTTCATTAACAAGTCGATGATCAAGATTCTACTGTGGGGAGTATGGCAAATAATTCTAGACAACACCCTTGCAGCATCAAAAGATGTTAAAACACAAAGATTGCAAACAGCAGAGTACTTGGGAGCTGTTTAATATGGCTGGTGCTTTGCCCCAAACAGTGTTTACAGCAGTCTGGCAGTCCAGCATTGCAGGCATGAAATGTGCATTGCTCCAGCACTGGAGTGGCCATGGCCATAAACTGGTCTTGAATTGAGCATTGTTGGATCGATATTTGATTGTTAGGGCTTCATGCACTTGTGCTATGAATTTCGCAGCTGGAGAGCATGGGTGCAAAGACGTGCATGAATGTACCCATACGGGCAACGCAAGAGGGGACACGACTGTCACGGCACATGTTTCTATTGAATCCACACGACCTGACGGCATCAGTACGCTACCAGTCTAACTGGACTATACAACACTGGGACAGAACAGCACGATTGCGCAGACTTACCGGTCTGCAGGTACCTGAAATCGCGCCTGTCCATGCTCCTCAAAGATCCTTTAAAGATCTTCAGATTTGGAAGAGTGACGACAGGAAATAGCAGAAGCATGCCATGCTACACACATCTGATGCCTTTCTCTCTCCAATGGGCACCCATCATCTGCTTGACAACGGGATCTCTGTCCTCCATTTCGGTGGACCTGGCTTGCTGGGTTGCATGAACACACATAGTCGCAGTTGCTACAAGCCCTGCTCAAATGGCTGTAATGGCCTCTGCGCAAAATAGCTCAAACTACTGAATGGCATGGACAAGACAATCACACAAAATCATACTTTGGCAAATGCCCAAAGGCTCCATTCAGAGAAGCTGAATCGTGGTTGCAGGCACTGCTGCATATCTGTTGTCCATGGAAGGAAATAAGACTATTTCTACTTTGTTGCTGAGATTAAAATAGGGGATGAACTGAACCTTATGGTTGAAAGGAGCTCAGGCATTCCGAGTGCTATTGTGATTGGACAGGTGACTTGTGCAGCCTGTTGCAAAAATAGTGCCCAGGGAGGGCAACAACCAGCCCTGCCAGCTGCCAACTTGCCGTTCCACCTGCATGGGGTGTGCACAAACCTGGTAGACGTCGCCTGCCTCAGTCCCAAACCATCTGGCATTCCTCAAAATAAACAGGGTTTCCTGCACAGACAGATGATGACAGCGTTCCAGCCTCAATCCCACACATTCCCAACCATTTGACCCTGGGGTTCAAAAAGGATAGACTCCATGACTGGAGCCATGCCCCCGACAGCACCTCAGTGAGTGGAGAAGTAAACAAATGAATGAGTGGAGATGAGAGAACGTTCTGGATGCATATGTGCCTGCAGTCGGCTGCAATGTGCTGGGACCCGCTTGTCTTGTGAAGGCAAAGCAATGTAAGGACTTCAGCGATGCATGACTCGCTCGCCTACGTCCCCGATTGGGCCAACAGACAACACCTTGCGTGCTGCGAATCTGCCCTCCCCAGCCCACCCATAATGTGAACCTTGGAGATCATTGGGATTGCCTTGTGGACAAAACGCAGGCAGACAAATGTTCCACATCGCCTCCCACAACCAGGGGCTCAGCTCCCAGGGCTCCTTGCCCCTCTTTGACGAGTGCAATCTCAGAATTTGCCCCCAACCGCCCACACAACCAACCAAAGCATCATCTTCTCGCGGCATGGGAAAGAGCCTCGCACACACCTGCTCAGGAACGCGTGTCCTCTGCACGACCAGTTCACTCTTTTTCTTTGCAACAAATCCCAATCTAAACAACTCAGATATTCAAGTTTAGGAAATAAAAGAACGTTCTTTTTGGCCAGATGATAGAGAAAATCCTGTTTCAGAGGACCCCAACCAACCGCCCAGGACGGCAGCGCACCTTTTCGGTCGTCCACAGCAGCCTCCACCTGCTGGACAGGTCCTCCCCCGTGGTCACGCTCTCAGCCCCCAAGCCCTCCAGAGTCTCCACAGCCGCCATTATCGCCGCCCGGCCGTCCCCGGACGTCGTCAGGCCCCTGCCCGCCCCCTCGAGGGCGGACATCAGATTCCCCACGGCATCGTGGCGCGGATCATCGTGCACAGGAGGCGGGCGCGCGCCGTAGATGCGCGGGAAGGCGCGCGTCGGCACGCGGGGGCCTCCGCGCTGCCGCGGGCCCCGCTGGCCGCAAAGGGAGTCGGGGGAGAATTTCTGCGAGGAGCAGAGGCGGGCCATGGAGTCCGCAGCCTCTGCTGCGTGTGTGTGTGGCCAATGTAGGTGTAAGCACCCCCCCAAACAACGAGTGTATGCGCGTAATTGGTCTACGTAGCGTCGAGCGTCGCGTCGCGCGTCGCGTCGGGACTCATTACATGAGTCATTCAATGAGCGCCCGGTGCGACGTTGGGCTTGGGCGGTCCAGCAGAAGGCGACAGTTTACGACGGGCTTTACAACATGGTATTAACTACAGGTGTGGCGGTTATGTAGGTGGGGTAAGAAACCCGAAACAACATCCAGTTGGGTCGTCAACCACAGGGGTGGCGGTTGATCTCTCGATACGCGCCGGGGAGCGACATGTCGATATAATTATGCACTTCATCTGTCCCATATTAATTGTCCTCTAATTGAAACACAAATCCCGTTATGAAAACGGTCTCTCTACTGGTAAAGGGTGCCAGAATCGCAAGATTGGGACCAAAAACCCTCAACCACGAATACTCAAGAATGTGAGTCAGCCCCGACCTCTTTGAGCGTCGGATGAAAAGTGAATTTCGCTCATTTTTGAGACAAAAATTCGATGTTTAGCCCCAAACGCGGCGTGTCAGCGGAGGGCTGTTGGGCCCATTTCCGGGGACGGAACGTGAGGCGGCGGTCCTCGCCCCACTGGGAACTCCCCCAGGTGGCCGCTCGGCGTCGGGCACCAACGACTTCGCGCCGTTTGCGCGTGTGCCTGGCAGACGACCGTACAGGCACCCATCGCACCTGGCCATCGTGCGGGCGCCGGCAACGTTGGCGTAAATGCCAAAAGTCGGGTCGGATTCAACGTTTGCCCGCCCCAGCGCCATGATTCATCATCATCATGATTTTTTTACAGATCAAGGCGCCATGATTCATGACTCCGGTACGGCACCCCAGGATCTCCCACGCGGTGTACTTTCCACCCCCCGTCTCCGCGAAACATCGGCTTTCCCGTGACACTTGAACATCAACACTTCGGCATCGAGAGACGAAACCACCAGGCGCGTCCGGGCGCAACGCCTGCGAAACGCACACTAATCCGCGCCCCTGCCCCGCACCCGCTTCACGTCAGCGTGACGCGACCGGGCGCCCTCGTACTCCTCCCGGCGCGGCCGCGTCCAATGGGCGTCGCCAAAAGTCCACGTGGCGGCCCCAGTGTCGAGCCAGACCCCAGCCCCCTTCTGTAGAACGCCCCAGGCTAGGCCGTGAAGTGCCCCGTCCAGCCAGGCAACCTTCATTCGGGCTGATCTCCCCGCCCCACGGCCACAGGCGCCTCCCGCCCACAAGCGGCCGCGAAGAGTCACGTAGGCGGACAAAAAGTCGAAAAGGGAGCCGCCTGGGCGCTGCCCACGCCCGGAGGCACCCCCCCTCGCCAGCCGGGTCCGCAGCGAAGCGGGACGCTGGGACTTGACCCGCAGGCGGGCGAGCTTCCCGGGCGGTTCTTCGCTGAACGATGATCCCGACCATAAGGTGCGCACGGCGGCCCCCGCCACATCCCGGCCACGGCCGCGTTGCCGCGTCCGAGCGGGGCATCCCGCGGCGACGGCTCCGCGAGGCGCGATCTGGGAATGAACCTCGGGCGGAAGTCGGGTGGCGCGGGCGGGGCTGCCGGCGAGGCCGGCAGAGGCGATCCGGCGACGGCCGATCGCGCGGGGGCGCGCGGGAGGGGGGAGAGGGGGGGGATGCGCGTGGGGGGATGAGCTCCGAGGGAGGGGCGGATCGACACCCGCGTCGGAGAGTGCTGTGGGGCGTGGTGGGAGGTCGAATAGGATGAGGGGGGTGGGGGTGGGGGGGGGATGCTGGCGAGGCGGTCGTGCTGTGCGGCCGGCGAGGGCTCTCTGCGCGGGGATCTGCACAGCGCGGCCTCACCTTGCGGCTGTGCGTTTTCTTTCCGCGGCATCTCTGGGAACCCGCCCGACCCAGGCGGGTGGGTGGTTGCGCCGGCGCACGCGGGGGCGGACCTCGCATGGCCATCGCGCCGGCTGGCGTTGGTCAATGCGGCGGCGGCGGCACGCCGGGGGGGGGTGATTCTGGCGGCGGACGGCAGAGACATCGCGCCGGCGGAAGCCGCGGGGGAGTGAGATCCTGACAGATTCAGGGGCGCTGGGCGGGCGTCAGCGATGGTTGCAGCGCCGGCGGCGGGGGGGGGGGTTGACGCGCGGCCGGACGCGGCCGCGAGGGGATGTCCGTGTGGAGCCGAGGGCTTCCGCCGGCATCTCCGGCTGCGTTTTGTGTGCGCTTTGGTGCGCTGGCGGTAGTCCTCGGACGCCGCCGCTGTTGGAGGCAATTTCCTCGTGACTGTAGCGCCGTGGCAAGTTTCCATTTTGAAGCTCCCACGAGCTTCCGCCCGCTGATCACGCATCGGACCTACATTCAACGAACGACCACGGCCGTTTTGTTCCTCTTTCGAGGGCGAATTTTTGAGCGGAGGGAATTCATTCGGCAGCTGTTGACGCCTTACTTGCCCATGTGTGTAGGCACGGCTCCCGGGCCGTGGGGCTGCAGGCATGGCTGGCCGCCTTCCACCCGGACAAGTACAACGCGGTGACCGCCTTCGACGGCGGCCAAAACTCGGGGCCCGACACGCCCAAGGGCCTCTTCGGCACGACCGCCAGCATTTGGAGCGCCGACGCCACCGCCGCCAAGCCTGCCGCCGCGCCGGCGCCCGGCTCGCCGTCGAGGAGAGATGGATTCGAGGTGGGGACTATGGCGGTGCGCTCGCAACCGCATCTGTGCATTGTTTCATTCTCCTGTTTTGTGGTTTTTGTCTTCTTTCCTTTTTGCGCCAGCGGCTTGGTGGGAGATTTCCATTCCATTGCTCCGCAAGGAAGGGGAACTGGGCACTGCGCACCTGAAAGGCGACGGTGGGCATGGTTGCACAGTGTGTGTGAGCGGGTGCTGCGTTCGTGAGGGGACACGGTGACATGCTGGCTCACCCCAGTGTGTCCTGGGGAGCTGTTTCTGTTGGAGGAGGTTCGTTCACCCTGTTTAAGATAGCAACTGCAGAGCTGGGAAATGTTGAATTCCTCTCTTGCGGACGCGCCTCGTTTGAGCCTTGTCTCTTGCGTGCTGCAGGCACAGCAGGAATCGCTGCACCAACAGATGCTGGGCTTTTCAGCGCTTTTGCCCGGCATGCCCAACAAGCCTTTCACGTGCCCGCCAAGTCTTCCTCTGCCCTCAAGGCAAGCCATCCCCACAGACCAGGCCCTCCAGGCAATCGCAGCTTCCCAGGCAGCCCAAGCTGCCCAGCTTCAAGCAGCCCAGCTTCAAGCCGCCCAGCTCCAAGCACAGCTGCAGGCCCAGGCGGCGCAGGCTGGTCTGGACCTCACCGACAGTGCTGGGCTGGAAGAATGTATGCCCGATGAGTTTGTGTCCCAAGCCCCTGACTCTGCAGCCTTGGGCTTCATGCCATCCCTGCAACTGAGCGGGGCTGACGAGGGCTTGAGATCACAGTGGGCTGCCTGTGTGGTGCAGTCGGCCGTGAAGGACCCAGGGAAGTACTTGTCCCATTTCCAGGGCCTGGGGTTCCAGGACTTGTTCGATGCCATGAAGAGCCATCTGTGGACGTCTGGGCCGATACCGGACATGGCTCTCTTCCAGCTGTTCCGAAAGGTCCACAACAGGGAGCAGGCAGACAGGGCCCTGGCCCTGCTGAACGAGGACAGAGCCACCAGGGTAAACAGGGGCATGAGCAGTGACTATTCCGAGGTCACATCGTCTGCGGTGTTCTGCGCGCTCAATCGCGCTGGCGAAGACGACGACGTCGTGGCGGCCGCGGAGAGCGCGTCGGCGATGGGCCTCACACTGTCTCGCAGCAGCATGTATCACCTGATGAAGCAGTACAGTGTCAAGGGCAAGGTGGAGCATGTGGAGAAGCTTTTCAGGGCGCTGGAGACGGCCGGGAAGAGCTGGAACTCGAACTGCATCGTGATCATGATGCTTGCCTACTTTAACCAGGGCCGTTTCGAAGAGGCTGACCAGCTGAGGAAGGAGCTGCAGCACAGGGGCATCAAGCTGTCTGAGAGGATCAACGCCCGTTTGGACAAGCTCCTTTCAGGGGAGGAGTACTGGCGCTGGGAGGACAAAGTGTATGTGAGGCAGAGGTCGGGACAGGCACAGCCCTCTGTGCCACAGGTCCCACTGAGCTTTGGCGTGGTGAGTGGTTTTTCTTCAGTTTGGGAATTGGGGTATTGTGTGGGGTCATGATCTAAATGCTGCGTAAAAGGTCTTCGGTGAGCACTTTGCCTAATGCATAATCATTCAACAGTGCTTGGCCACCTTCTGGCACGCTGACATTCATGTCTCTTGCCCACTGCCAGACCACAGTCCAGCAATAACAGCGATTGTTGTGCCGTGCCCAATCATTGGACAATCGATGGATCGGCAGTCGATTTCTTTTCTTGTGCACAGGGCCTCCGCTGCTCCCTGTATTGCCTCAAAACTCTTGTGCCTGCTGCCGTCGTTTCTCCCCACTGACTCGACTGCATTTGGATCCTGCACAGCTCAATCATGGCAACTTCGATCCACCCGGCCTCTTCAGCAACCCTTACAGCCCCACTGCACACACACAACGCCAGTATCACAGTGCTGTGGTAATGACGCAAGCACAGGATGCTGAGGAGCAGAGCTTTGACACCTCCGAAAGCGCAAGCGCGATGGACGCGCTGCTGGAGGGCGATGGACTCAAGGAGTCAGCCACACTGCTGAATGCCCTCGAGGAGCCTAAGGTTCATTTGAGCATGCTGCGGCTTGTGGGCTTCGATGATCTGTTCAAGGCCATCGAGGACCACATGAGACTGCATGGGCCTGTGGAGAATGTTGTGATATCCTTTCTGTTCAGAAAGGTGGAGAACCGCGATCAGGTGAGTTTGATTGGCTTGGCTTCCAGCATGGACAGATTGCATGCTGCACATCTGGGCCAGTTTTGAACCCTGTGCTTGGCAGTCGGCACCTTTGCTCCACCAGATGTTGTTTCTGTGTCATGACTGGTCATGAACATGACCTTCTGTGCATAGCGCTGCTGTGTTCATTGATATGTGTGTACTCTGCTCGGAACATGCCACAATTGAGCTGTCATTGCTGGAGAGGATGGTGGACTATGTAGCTGGTTCTCGTAGTGAGAATGGTTGGCTCCTGGCACACCCAGGTTCGTCGCTGGTGTGGACATTCTGATGTTGTGGTTCGTGGTGTGCGCTTGCTGGACAGGCGGAGAGAGCCATGAACCTCCTGGCCGTCGAGCGGGCTGCCCGCAAGGAGGCTGGGATATCTGACGAGTACAACGAGACGACCTGCTCGCGCATTTTTACTGCGCTCTTCCGCGTGGGCGCCACCGACCTTGCGCTGTCGTCCGCTGAGTCAGCTGCCAGCAACGGCCTGATCCTCTCGGGCAAGGCCCTCCACGAGCTCCTCAAGAGCTTTGCCATATCCAACCAGGTGGACAAGGTGGAGGAAATCTGGAAGCTTGTCAAGGCGCACGGCAAGCCGAGTTCCAGGATTGTCTACTCGATCTTCAGGACGTACTTCGACAACCACATGATGGACAAGGCGGCGCGGTTCCGCGAGGAGATTAGGGAGATGGGGATCAGCCTGAGCGCCAGCGCGACGCGCAACATCGAGGAAGTCTTGAGTGGCGCCAAGCAGTGGGTCAAGGATCCACACGCCGCAGCCAACGTGGGCCCGGACGACACGGGCGACCAACTTCACTTGAGGGGTTGAGTGCCTGTTTGCGCACATCCCCCCCTGGTGCGCCCCCCTGTTATGGGGCGGCCAACCAAGGCATGAGTGCTTCATTGCTGAATTTTAGCGTCGAATTGGTAGGTCGATGACGATGTGTACTATGGGTTGGACGCTTGGGGCGGCTTGGGATTTTGCGTGTGGGGCGGACGGGCAAGTTTGTGTACCTTGAGAAGAGAATGGGACTGTGCGCATACAGGGTAGTGGGTGTGCGGAGCATGAGCGTCATCTGTGTCTGAGCTGCAGGGCAGATGGCGGTCAGTTGCCGGTCAGCAGTTTTTGAGTAACCGACAGAAGAAGAGGGAGCGTTTGCGAGATACAGATTTGATTGCTTGCATAAAGAACCTCCGAGTGTCGAAGTCGACAAATACATTTTTGCATTTCGTTAGGGGACTCGGCATTTAGTGGGGATTGATTTTGTTCTGACAGCGGTTGGGCTGGAGACGTGTCGCGGTGTGTTGATGCATTTGATGGATGTCTGGTGGTCGTTGGGAACACACATTGCTGAAGGAGGCGCGGTAAACACGCAGTGTTAATTGCACGTTGCATGTAAACAGGCGAGGGATGATCCCCAGTGACAATTCCTGTGGGACCCGGCGTCCCCCGTGCTTACAACTGGTGACAGTTTGACGAAGCCCGGTCTTTGCGCCCGCGAAGCGACGCTGAGCGTCCACTGCGCTCGATCGGAGGCACGCTTTCGTACCGGCAAGTGCCCTCCCCAGGCGCTAACCAATTGCATTAGTGTTTGTGACATCGCAATGACCGGCATGGGGAGGTAGGGGGCCCATCGAGTCAGCGACACTGTTAATAGCACAGGGGCTCTAACACCTGTGGCATCAGAGTGGAGTTCGACACCGGGGGACCCATGGAAGGGCAAGCTTGGGTGGGTACCCAAGGGAATGGGTACCCATTCCGCCTGTGGCGCTGTCCGCAGCACACCGGCTGAACCTCTGGCATCCCAGCATTGGTAACGTCAAAGAAAAGAAGAAAACGAGGACGCACTCGAGCGGATGGGAACCCGAGTGGAGTTGAGTGCGGCAGGAGGACTCGTCAGCATAATCAGAAAAGCGAAAGCACATCCAGGCAACTGGAAAACTGGCTTGGCGATCGGCCGGCAGCGCGCCAGCCCGGAGCGACTGTGCACATCACCCAAAGGCGACATCAACACCAGCTTTGGGAATCTCTTGCTTGGCTACAACTCAGCCTCCAACCAACTCACTGCCTTCCAACGCTCATCCCACCGTCCAAAAAGACCTCACACTGCGAGGCCCCATACCACAGACTGCTGGACGCCATGTCCTAACAACCGTGCCCCACCCCTACCCTCTCCCCTTTGCCTTCTCTCGCCCAGTTCAGAAACGGCAAATTCGACAGGCCTTCCTCACGAGGCACTGGGAGGCGGTAGCATCGACGTCCACGGCACACAGCTCAGCGGCCAGGGACCCTCGCCAGCACACCTGGAGGCCGTGAAGCACCAAAGTGTGGCAATGGCCAGTATGATCAGCAGCAAGAAGAACTCCAGCAGGCTCTGCATGTTGATTTTCAGGACCACGCTGTACTCATTGTCCCGGCCCGGCCTCCGCTTGGTGCGCCGCTTCCTCCTTCTCTCCTCGGTAAGCTGGCCAGCGGAGTCATCGCTCTCGCCCTTGTGGCGCCCCGCCCGACTCCTGTGCAACTTCACACCGAACACAGACTCTGGCGTCGCACACGTGTCATCAGAATCCATGCAGCTGGACTCGCTCGGCAGCGAGCCTCGAGACTGAGGGCTCTCCGGACTGCCGGTCCTTGGCTCCACTTTGGCTGACAGCTTCGGCTGGCCCTTGCTCTTCATGGCCTCACGCTCGTCAGCGCACTGAGGCCTTTTGGTGTCCAACTTTCGCGTCCTGCTCGGCACAGGACCAGAGCTGGCAGGAAGCCTGGGAACTCTGGACACCACATACCCTTCAGCGTCTAGGGTCGCCTGAATCGGCTGCTGCCCAACGAGAACACAATCAATGCCAATTGATGCCCCATCGGGCTGGGGCAGGTCGGAGGCCTTCGGGATCCGTAGCCCTCTCTTGCCGCCTGTTTGGCCTTCAGACCTTGGATTGCGGAAACCTTTTGGCCAGTTCTGGTTCAGCGCATGGCTGATCGCCCCAGTGTTGATCTGCAACGGGCGCTTCTGTTTTTCAGCCTCCCTAGCCTGTTGGCGAGACCCCTCCGTGGTCGATGCCTCGGGGCGCATGGACCTCCCAACGTGGAACAGACCACCGGAGCCGGTCATCAGGCCCGGCTTCGCGAGCCTGTTGAACCGATTGTCAAACGCAAAGCTCTCCGATGACTGCAGATTCTCCTTCCCAGCGGACGACTCGCTCTGCTCGCTCCTCTTGTTTTCAGCCCGTGTCTCTGTCGAGCTTCCATCTGGCTCGCCCTCGTGCACAGGGGAGGAGCTGTTGATCACGTCGTTGCGGGGTGACAGGGTGTCCAGGCTCAGGGGCTCAGGAGTCTCCTGGGTAAGGTAGCGAGATGACACCCTGGGTTCGAGTGGCTCCAGGCGCAAAGGTTCTGGAGTCTCTTGGGTGAGGTATCGAGAGGACACCCTGGGCTCGGGGACCTCTGGGACCTCTTGGTTGAGGTAATCAGGCATGGGGGGATCAGGGATGCCTTGGTCGCCGTAGAGGGGTTGTCGGACAGGCAGGCCACAGCTCAGCTCGTTGGCATCCTTCCCTGCGACTATCCCAGGGTAGACCTTCCAGCCCTGCGATGCCGTTGGATGGCACAGCTCCCCATCTCTGTCCAGCAGCTCACGCCGCTCCTCCTGCAAGCAAGTCGAAACAGTGAATGGGAAGCAGCTACGCACGTGGCACCCAGCCGATGCTTCAGTGGGATGCTGTCAAGAGCAAAGGATTGCGTGAGGCATAGAAGCCAGGCATCTGTTCATCGCAAGGTCAGCCTGGACCTCAGGCTGAGATTCGAAGCAGAACACTGTGCTGCAAAATGTCAAATTCGCCATGGACAAGGATCTTTTGGTGGCTTTGAAGAAATGTTCACATTGTCACAGCAGGTTCTCAGACAGGTGTGCATGAACTCCAACAGCATCCTTTTGCACTTGTAGAATGCATACAGGCAAAAAATACTGTGTTCAGCAGCCAGGATCGAGCACGGCAACAGTCCACCCTTAACTTCTTCCATCAGGCCACTCACCACTTGCAGCTCAGGTGACACAATCGGGCGCAAGTCAGCACGCTTGATCTGCAGAGGCGCTGTTGGTGCTGTTGTCTTGAGCTTCGTCTTGAACAGGCTCTTTGCTGACATTGGCGCCTGCGTCGGCTGTGGCCTGCAAGCACAGGCCAAAGCAGCATTGGCACGCAGAAGGGGCGCACAACAACAGGCTCTGTTCGCACGCTGGCTTGATCACAAGGCTCCGTACAGGGAAGACTTGGAAAACAAGGTACAAAAACGGCTGGACATCGACATCGTGGAGCAGCAATCAAGGCAGTTGCCAATCCCCTGCCCCAGGCACATTCCATGGAACATCTGCACCACACCCGTCATAGAGCGGATTGCCCAGAATGTTTGAGGATGCCTTTGAAGTGGTCTGTTGTGGGAAGACGGCTGTCAAAGGAGCTCCGGGCCCCACTGATCCACCAGGATGCAGAGCTGCACACAAACACATACGATATCAGACAAATCGCAATGCAGCAGCTATGAGGGGCTACTGGGAGCAATTCGGCCCCAATGTGCCAACTTACCGGCCTCTTGGTCTCTAGAGCCCCCTGTTCTCCACGATTTTGGCGCATAACTGCGCGGCATGGTAACCACCGCACCACGTAGTGGCTTCTGACTTTCACCAGGTTTGATACGCGTTGGCTCAGGAAGAATCTTCTCGCCCTGCAAAATCAAACGTCAAATTCAGCCCACTCCCGGGTGACATATAGAGTCAGGAAGAGTTTCCTCGACCGCTTTACAGACATTCATCCACCTACCAAGCTACAAACAGGCACAAGTGCAAGGGCATGTGCCTGGCAGCAAGAACTACATGGTTCGCATTCGCCTGCACAGGTCAAGAGAACAAAAGCGAAAGCTTGTGCCTTGCAGGCGATGGCAGACAACCACCCCAGCGGTGCAGCGCCGGCCTGTCGCCAACGGCCAAAGCCAAAGGCATCGAGCCACAAGACAAGACAGCACAAAGGCAACAAAGCTGCAAAAAGGCCAAGTACCACAATGGCAAAAGAGTCACAAAGGCTAAAGAGCTGCCAAGGAAAGAGTCGCAGAGGCAACACGCCACAAAGGCGAGAAGTCACGAAGGCAGGTGCAAAGCCTTTGGCAGCCCCCCTGAGGCATGGGTGGGCCCAGGGTGCCTGTAAACGGGGGAGAATTGTTACAAACAGAGAAAGAAACAGCCCATACAAAGGGCAACCCATCCTAAGCAAGTTTATGCGAGGCTCTTTTCCATGCAGTGGGCGGGTGGGGTGGGGGTGGGGGTGGGTGGAACAAGAATCGTCTTTGGTGGTGCACGCACCGAGCGGCCCACGTGCTGTCGTCCGGACCGGTGGCGGGTCCTCACCTCCTCCGACGAGGCGGCGCTGCCACGAGCGGCCTCCTCCTCGAGGTCGGAGCTCGCGGAGTCGGAGTCGTCCGGCGGGTACCGGCAGCGGAAGCCGAAGCTCCTGCCCTCGTCGGCTCCGGGACTCTGAAAAGCGGCACAAAAAACGGGACCGAGTGGGAAACAGGGGTGCGGCAAAGCGGCACAGAAAACGGGACCCAAGTGAGAAACAGGGGCAAGGGAAGCAGCACAAAAAACGGGGCCCGAGCGGGAAACGGGGGTGCGGCGTTGGTTGGCGGATGTGTTGAGGCAAGCGGCGGGCTGGGAGGGGCCGGGGGAAGGGTCGGCGTGGACCGCCAAGCGGGGCTGCACTTGAGAAAAAATTAACCAGCTGCGCAGGGGGCAGAATCTTTGCGCGGGGTGCAGGGATGCGCAGCCTGCTTGCGGACATCCGGCAGAAAAAGACCGGCGGCGACGCGGGCAAGAGGTCGACTGAGGGCAGTCGGCCCGATCAGCCCACCGGCCGACCGATGGGCAGAAACAGGGCGCCGACATGCCAGCGGCGCTCCCGAGGGCACGCACCACCGCCGACTGCGACGCTCCCAAAGCGCCGCGACGCCCCGTCGCCTGCGCCCCCCAATCGCCGCATGCGCGTTCCGAGCCGATGCCAAACCGCAAACCTGGCGCGGCTTCAAGCGCGCCGCCGCAGCCACGCCCGCGCCACCCGCCGGGGATCCCATCACCGAGACAACGCCCCGCGCACATCCCCAAAACAAAAAATAAAAAAGGAAGAACGGATGGCCCGCCCCCGCTGGGCGGCCTGGCGCGTCCGTAGAGATTTCTGCAGGCAAAGGCCAGAGGCGGCGCGGCGCCGTTCGATCGCGACGCGTCCACCCCTGGACGCCCGGGCACGTCGGCTGGAGCGGCCCGCCCGGCGCCTTGGCGGAGATCGGCGCCCAGCCAACCGCCACGTCGTCCGAAGGCCACGAGTACCCACCGGGGAGTCGTTGCTCACGGGAGATCCGTACACTCCGCGCTCGGTGAAGAGCTTTCCTGCGCCTGCGAGCCGATCCACAGCCGCCGTGAGCGCCGCGTACCGCCGTGGCCGTCGCCGGGCCCCTCATTCACAAAAAGCCGCTCAGCATCCGAGCGAAGGGCCATCCAAGCGCCAAACTGGGCGCCTCGTGGCCGCGCAATTGGACCGTCTGCCCCATCCTCCTTGGGCGAAATTCGGGCTGGGGTGGAGCCAGGCTCTCGCGTGCTCCCCTGAGGTCCGTGGGATCCACGCGAAGGGAAAAATCAAATCGCCGACCGCTGCCCACATCCAAACATCCGGGGGGGCCAGGGGTACCTGATCCGCCGCTGCCGGGTCGGCCGCCAGGAGGCAACTGGTCCATGCCTCGCGGAGGCCGCGGGGGCCTCGTGTGGCCGGACGGGGCGGTCGACGATCCGTTGCCTGGGCCCCGCTGTGGCGCCGAATTTTCTGGCCGTACGCCCTGTGGGAGCGAAGGTTGCTTGGGCGAAACTAGGGCATCAAGCTGAACAGGACATCTTTTGAGTTGCAAAAAGCATGAAAAACTAAGCCTTGAAGGTGTCCTAAAGGCGACCTAAACAATGGAGGTGTCCAAAAGGCGTCCCCAAGGTGTCCTCAACCTTGGAGGTATCCTGAAGGCGTCGTAAAGGAGTTATTGTGAAGGGTTTACAGCGCTTTCGAGGGGCTAAATACAAAGACCAGGGTTCTTTGTACGTAATCGCATTCTGCTGTTCCTTGCACCCCAGGGATGAGTGATCACGTGGGCTCGACGTGTAAGATTTCTTGATGATTACGTGGGCGGGGGTCCTTGCCCACGTCAACGCATGTTCATTTGTCGGTGGCGCTTGTCAGGACCATGCTGCCAACTGCACAATAGGCACCGTGGTGCTGATGAGCGCCGTGAAGGTATGAACGCGCATGGACCTGTGTCCCTATCTATTTAGCCTTCGAGTGCTCCGATCGAGGACTTCACACTGATAGAAAAAGCAAGCACAACAGTGATGAGGAGGCTCCGCAGCTGATAGGCAAACCCAAGGGGAGCGGCATCCCCAGGCTTTGAAGGTCCTGCAAGATGGGTGCTGGGGAAGCTGAACCTTGAGCCGTTGACTAAGTTGTCCACTGCACCTACTGCTTCATCTTAGGTGGCTGCTCTGAGATAGCCAGCTCACTTCAACAGGGCGTCAAGCACTGTCATAACTCTTTTGTCTGTGCCTTCGCAGCAGAGCAGTGGCCATTCAGGAACCCACACGTTCTTTTGCCACCATGATGGGCTGTGCATCATGCTGGTCCATGAGAGTTTTTATCTTCTGAGGGCGCAAAGCTGCTGAAATTTCTTCTCACAAGGCAGGATCGCTCTGAACAGGTGCCATGCGAGGTCTCCTACTTGCTCATTACCCCTTTGCATGGGTTGGCAACACGCAGTGCCCCAATCATGGTGTTGATGAATGTCAGACAACTGCAGCGTGAGGGCTGTGGCTGCAACAACAAATAGTTTTACACATTTGCTCGCTGATAGTGAAACGAAATCTGTAAATAAAACGCAACCAACGGGCTTTGGCATCGTGCACATGCATGATGCATGCAGCAGCAGCAACAGCCAATGGGTCATTTTGTTTGCTTCTGTTGCTTCCATCTTCGTGCCATCTCCAACAGCCTGAGGTTGGGCGCATGACCCCCCTCTTCAGGAAAGATGTAGTCGTAGTATTCTTCGAATCCAGCCTCCAGTTGGTCTTCAGTGACTATTGACCTCTTTCGCTTTACCTTCTTGGGCATCTTCTTCTCAACAGTCTCCACCGATTTGGCCTTTTCTTCAGCCGATCTGCAGTGTGCACAATTCAATACACCATCAGCACACGTTGGCCACAAGAATCGACAACTTCCAATGCAGCAGCAACCCATCCACGATTGACAACATGGGGTGCTGCAGCGGCTGCAGCAGCTGCAACACCTTCCATGGTTGCAGAAATTTCCATGGGTCTACACGTGTCCGATGACACAGAACAAGGTTCCCTTAAATAATAAACAATAAATAAATAATAAATAATACATGAACGGGCCATACAAGGGGGAGGTGCATATCTATAGTGCTGGCCAGCGAAAGGGGTAACTGCCAAGGTCTGGTTCATGTGGCATTATGAATCACATTTTGCAGCAATGTCTTGGGCCCCCTGTCCCATGTGCCAGGGAGCCCATGCGTCATGCTGCGGGGGCAAGGGCTTTGGGCCGGGGTCACCTTTTTCAAGATTGGCACACCCGCCCAATGGGGGTTGAGGAGGGCGATTGGCAACACTACACTGTATGCGTCAGCCAGGGGCCAGCTGTCAAGCTGGCGCAGGCAGAGGAATGTTGCGGCGAACCCCACAGGATGGAGTGTCTCATAGCTTTGCTGTAGTGGAATCAATACTGTGTACTGCATTTATGTTCTACAGAGGCATCAAACCAATATAGAAGAAAGGGGGCTGTGCCTAGCATCCATCCAGTGCTAAGCAAGCTAAACCCCAAAACGATGGTGTCCTCTCCCTGGGAGGGGCGCGGGGCTGAGTTCAGCTTTCATTAGGCATTCTTTGTGACACAATTCAACATAATATTATAAACTGCAAACTACAAATCGGCACAATGTCCAACGTTGCTGTACAGGTCACCAGAACCAGTGATGATTCAAGCACAACACTGCACATGGGTGCACATTCACGATTGACCAATATTTGACAATGCCATCAACGTGCGGCAATCGAACGTCCTCCCCGTGTGACAGTAAAATGAGTTTGGCCAGAACAGGGGTCGAAAGTTTGCACTCATACTTGGAGGCGGACTCCTGTTCAAAGGCCCTCCATGCCTCCAGCAACAAGACTGCCTCCTCCTTTGCGTCCGGCTGCAGCTCCCTCAGGCACTGGAATGCGCGTTCGTACACCTGCTCAGCCACACATGGACCTCTAAGTGCATCCTCTATTGCCAAACCTGTTCTCCTGCCTGGCTCGTTGGGGCCGTGGGGCTACGAAAGTTGAGCGCCGATCATGGCCACCTGCCATGTTGCTCAGCTTGCTAGGCCTATGAGCCAAACATGCAAACCAGATCTTGATGCTATTTTGTCCCATGCGGGATACAAGAAAAATCACAAATCAGTTAAATGCAAATTGTTGTTGTGCACTTGCTTGCTGCCCTCCAGGATTCACACATGCTATGTAGTACTATATTTTGCAGGATGGAGAGTATGGGGGAAGCTATTGCTCAAGAGCAGGAAGAGCAAGAACAAAAAAAGGAAAAAAGGAAAAAAGAAAAAGGCTTCGGGTGGCTCTTCTGAACATGCTTTCTCTTCACACGCGCTTTTTGTCCAGATGCTTGGGGCGTTTACTGCTACACTTGACATGTGTTACGACTGGGCAGTATGCCCATATATGATCTGGAACGTAGGCTCACCACTGACTTCATGTCTCTGCACCCATCGCCGCTTACAACCAGCAAAGGCCCCATTGGCCAACCACTTTTGACACGCACAATCCACAGAAACAGAGAGAGGGGGACAAGTCCAAAACCATTTCTCTTTACGGCAAAAAGTCACACAGCACAGCTGCAGTGTGCCACACTGCAAGATCCATATGTGCAAAAGGTTCCTTTTGGTTGAAGAGAATATCCCCACCTTCTCTGCACGCTCCTCCCTGGACTTGGCACTCTCCTCATCTGCCTGTTCCAGATCCTCGTCGTCCCCAGCATTGGGCAACGGGGATGCCTCAAACTGGGCGTATGACATCCAAACCCTCACGTGCTTGGTGCGGTCCAGAAGCCTTTCATATAGTACTCGCGTTCGGGCCCTGCTGCCTAATGCAGAAAGAGTGGGGTGGAGCAGATCAGGTGCCACAACATTGAATTCTGCCTTGGGGGGCACATGAATGAATGAAGTTCCACCAGTATAGGTGTTTGAGGCTGCACTGGTATAAATTGCACAAACATCAGTACTGCTTGTGCATATGAGGCATTTACGTAAGTTGGTGCAAGCACCACTCTTTGTACCCTTGAGGCGATGTTACCCCACTCGATGCATGGACTGTTGCTATCTGCATGTTGTTGGCAATACTCGCAATGGTAAATCACTACCCTTGTGCCTCTTAAGCGATGCTGGGCCTCCAAACTACTGCAGAGGACAAATTGCAGCCTCTGGACATGTCCTCTCGATCCTCCATGGAGGAAAACAGGCTCACATTGGTCTGAGTAATTGTGACAGTCCCACATCGATGTGGAGTCTGACAGACACACTAAAGGGGGGGAATATGCCAGCACAATTAATGGCTTGCAACCACGCACACAATGCAAGCCAGACAGAACATGACCTTCAAACTTGTTGACAGCCACAGGAGCACAGGAAGTGCCCTCACGTTGTCTCTGTACTTTCATCTCTATTTTCAAAGAAGAGGATGCAATAAATAAGAACAAAGCAAACATCAGCACTGTCCAGTGCCACCAGCAGGTGCACAGACATGGCACTTTTCTGACCGCCAGCACTTGCTATGTCCCGAAGGGGTATGTGTACCTTTTTCAATTTCGAAATCAATGTATGCCTTCCACAGCAGTTCAGGCATGTCCAGCACAGCTTGGGATATGGCCAACTCATATATGGCCCTTGCGCGTTCGTCCTCCTCCAGGCCACACTCCAGCTCAGCGTATCGGCACCATGCACTGCAGTTTTCGGGGTTCCACTCCAGATATTTCTTGTACAGGGTTCGGCACCTGCGGCCATCATGTGAATTCCCACTGACAACGCCTGTCATAAGACAAGACAAAACCCTTGCCTTGCAGCCATGAGACACATGGCACTGCTCACAAACGCAATTCTATTATGATGAGTGGCATCAGCAGCCAAAGCACTTGCACATGTGTGCGTTTTTGTTCTCATTCACCTGTGGGCACTTTGCCTGGTCGAAATGAAGTGAACACATATCTTTATGCAAACATAGCACATAGAATCATGCCTGTCAACACATTTTCAGGTGCGAGGGCAGTGGTTTGTCATTTCTTGGCAAAGGAATAATCTTCTGCATATCTACAGCCATCTATTCAGACTACAGGGAACAACAGGGCACATAGACCACAAAAACATCAGACATTGAAGATGGCTCAGGCATGCAAGAGACCAGGAAACCCAATGCAATTCCCAGATCCTGAAATCAAAACAACAGATGCACATCGCAAGTCCCTCACCATACTTTGCCAATGATGGCAAAAGAAGCATAGTATCGACACTCCACAATTTTCCAATCCTCTGCGTTCAGCACACCTGTCGATGTTTCCAAGCATGAGCTCTATCTCGATGTATGTCTTGAACACCTTCTCCTTAGGTGCCATTCCGATGGCCATGCCCAGGATTTTACGAGCAGCATCCAGCTGCTTCTGCCGAATCTCAAATTGAGCGGCCAAGATCCAGATCTTCGCAAATGTGAACTGCTCATGTGGAATGACCTTGAGACACATGTAGTACACATCCCTGGCTCGCCCCATGTCCCCAACATCCAACTCTTCGAACAATGCATAGTTAATCCACAAGTAGATGTATCGTTTCCAGAACCATTTCTCATTAGCAGGGGGCTTGTTTGCAATTGCCCTCTCGTAGACATCCCGCACACGCTCCACATCCTCTGCAGATCCCTCCAGCCTTGCATAGTCGAACCATGCGTCGTAGTTCAGGGGATTGGCTTGCACCTGCTCTTCATAGTAGAATCGACGTTTGCTGAGGATCGCCTGCTCGATGCCTTCCCTCTCGCCGTGCTGCTTCTCGAACGCCAGATAGCGCTCATAGAGCCGGCTGGCCTGGGACTTGGGCAGGTGGTCGAGGGCGTACCTGAAAGCAGATGCAGATGAACAGCCACTCAGCAGAAAACGAGAGACCCTGAACACACCCCCAGTCTTGGCTGCAATGCTTCAGTGTTGAATTTATCCTTTTGGACATCTGCCACTCTTCGCGGTCGCTGACCACGACGTCTCAACCACGGCCTGGATGCTGTTGACCGGTAAATAATACAAAAAGCATATGAATAGTATGATCTATAATATGCATTCCCAAGACAATATGCGAATACATACATGCTGCCATGCATCGTCACATGTGTGTAGATTCTCCTGCATTGCATTTTGCCTTTACAATACAAAATGGAGACCTCACACCTTGCAGGCGATGAACGTTAATACGCACCTAAATGTTCGTTTGTGCCTGTGCGTTCGTTTGTAGCAATGCCCAAGATGCTGTTGACTGGGACTGCACATGCATGCCAGCAACATCGCCCAACAGGTCCAGTGGCATTAAATTCGCTGCCTCACAATTCGAGATATGCAGCCAGAGTAGGTTTCGGCAAGCACATATCTACCCACTTGTAAATGGCCCTCGACCTCTCTGTCTCCTTGACCTTTTCTTCAAACTCTGCAAATTTCATGAACAGCTCTTCAGTTTCACCATCCTCTCCCAAAGCCTCCACTGCTCTCTCGTAGGTCTGCCTGGCGAGGGCTATCTCGCCATTCTTCATTTCGAACTTTGCATACCTCACCCATGCCTTCACACTGGGAAGCACCTGCGTGCATCAGGAAAGCTCTCATCAGTAACATGCAAGGGGAATCGGATGGTCACCACAATGCCACATGGACCCAATCAATAAGTACACAAGGAATGTGGAACGAGGGAAGGAATGGTTCAAAGCAATTTGTTATGAATCCTGACCTGTGGCGGCCCCCCAGAGTGCTGGATTTGTCTTCACTGACATCGTGCATTAACTTTCAAGTCATCAATCTACCGGGATTCACATGTTACCTTGCGCTTGCTTGTGACATGGCAAATGGCCCACATCTCCTTTGCTGAGACGGGTTTGGCACCAAGCTACTTAAATGAATGCAGTATTTTGGAACCAAAGGAACAGAGAATTCAGAACTCTTGCAGTAACCAGTACAGGTATCAAGGCTCAGAAATATCCTTGCTGTTCACCCGGGCATACTGAGGTGCACGCTCTTAAACTCTGGACTTGAGAAAAGAAATGCCCATGGACTCTCCTCCTTGTCTCCAGTTTTCCAGGTAAGGGTAGTGGAGACACTGTCATTCCCAACGGTGCCTCTGCTGAAGAGGTGAACGAATGGAACACACGTACGCTCTAGTCACACCTCACAGCAACCAAACATTGACACATCTGGGAACGAAAATTGTTCCAAGCTGCACACAAGGTTTTCTTTCCTAAAACGCTGCGACCATTGTTGCTGTCCTCAGACGTGTCGTTCAAAGGTTCTTGATTGATCGGCATACCTGAACATACCGCTCATATATCGCCCGTGCCCTGGCAACCTCATTGTACCGAAGCTCAAAGTTGATGTACGCTGCCCACCCTTGATGGTCGGGCTCAAAACGCATCCATCGATCGAAAATCGCCCGTGACCCAGCCACGTTGCCCAGCATCTCCTCCATGTGGACATATTTGTACCAGAGTTGGTCCACTCGGGGTAAGTATGTCACAGCCCGATCCCACACATTCCTTGCGTGGTTGATGAACCGGTTGCGCATCTCCATCTCTGCATACTTGAGCCAGATGGACACGTTTGTGTAGCTGATCTGGAGTGTTCGCTCCCATACGGACCTCGCTCTCCGAAAATCCTTCTGCGACTCCTCCCACTGGGCGTATCTACGTTTGGCATCAAAGGCAAACCGTTACCATGGTGCTGTTGGGGGATCCACCAAACCCACAAACACAGCCAGCCAAATTTGGCAGGTTCTCCTTTCAGAAGCGTGCTGCGCCGTCCAAAAATTGTGATGGAGATCCGAAAATTGCATGCAGAGCAGGTCACATTCTTCCTGTTGGCGCTGTCGCAGGTGCCAGAACATCGCCACAGGAGACAACTAAGAGATGGCTACATGTTTTCTCTAACGATTGCGCCTATGTCTCCACAGCAGGAAGAATTCTATGGCTGTTTCCATTCCCGAGCGAAGCACCCCATCGTTCAAGTCCACCGTCCGGTGCCAACACCGCCAGACCCCCCCACCCCCGCCCCACGCCCACCAGCCCACCCCGGCACCGGGCTCGACAAAATGCGATCCCCAATCCCTTCTAAGGCCCAATCAGCACCCCTCACTTGACCCAGACGTTCATGTTGAACCGCCCCACGCGCCGCAGCAGGTCCTCGAACTCCTTGCGCTTGCGCAGCCTGTACTCGTCCAGCTCCGCGGTGTCCGTGATTATCTGCACCGGCGGCTTGAACTCATCCTCCAGCTGCAGCTCCTTGGCCTCGCGCAGGATCTGCTCAGCGGTGATCTGCTTGTCCGCCGGCTGCTTGTCCTTCACGCGCGTCGTCCGCGGTAGCCGGACCTCGGTGTCCTTCTTCAGGGTGCCTGCGATGCCCGTCTCGCTCGCCATGGCGCCTTCGAGGTGCCCAAAGGGCACTCGGGGAGGGCCTCGCGGGGAGGGGGGGCAGCCGGGATGGCGCGGCGCTGCCCAAGGCGACGAAACCTGGGCGTCTCTGTTCTTGGCGGTTGGGGAGCCCTGTTCAACACCAAAACCAGCCAAGAGAAGGGCACCGAATTAGGTCTAGTATCACTTATGTTAGTGCACTTGCATCGCTTATGTTAGTACACTTGTATCACTAATTTTTGTTCTGTTAAGGTGGCGGAGCAGGCAACGAGGACCGTTCCGAAATAGCACCGCCGGTGCTATAGCACCCACAGATACAGATGTTCGTAGCACTTCGTAGTCATCACCGTTTATTAGCTACGTTTTCTATTCAAGCCATTAGAGCACGTTCAATAATCCAGGTCCGTACACAGCCATGCCATGCGAAATGTCTGCTCTGTTGCCGCGCCAAATTCACACCATCGCAAAAAAAAATGCGTGACACTCGATGCAATTCTGGGGCTGTGTTCACCACGGTGCAAAATGACCACCATTTCCCTTGGGCGAGTCGTGCTTGCTTCAGGTGCGCAATTTGTATGTGGACACATGAGTGATTTCGCTGTGGTAAATCCCGAGCAATGGGACCATTAGTAATCGATTCTGAACACACTGTCTGCTTGGTTTTCACGCCCATTATCGCCTAACAGGTGCACGCACTGTGTTTTGCCATTTTGCGACAAATTTAATCCATGGATTTTGATGATGATCCCGAGCAAGCCACCTTTCCACATGTTGCGGCGGCTGTGTGCTGCGGTTTCAGCGGACATGATTGCAGTGCTGTAGCCCAGTACTGTGGTTGTAGCGCAAAAGCAAATACTGCAGCTGTAGCTCAATAAATATTGTGGCTGTAGCGCACGAATATTGTGGTTGGGATGTGTCTCCTATCCACGAAGGAGTGTGCGAGCCCCTGTACTTGGGTCAACGGTGGAGCTGCCTCCAGGAAGTGCACGAGGACATATGGACCACGAAGCTCCACGGCCCCGCAGGGAGTGCATTGCGGTGGCCCTGGTCCTGCCGTACGTAGCAGAAGGAATGACCACGAGCGATGGACAATTTTGCCAGTGCGACTCGAGAGCCGCGGCTGCCTAGTGCTGGGTGGACTCGAAGGCAAGGCACGGCGAGACTGGACGCTTACAGCATTGCAAGCGTGTCCATTGCCCCCCTCGTTGGGTCCTCGATGCTGTTTGCAGCTGCAAAGGTCATCGGGGACACCGCGAAAAGGTGCGGAAGTGATCTCAGCAAGTCTCCAGGACGGGATGCGATGCGCACGGCGCCACGTGGTCGATCTAGTGACAATTTCAATTGGCGGCGCGACGCCCAAGGTGCGGGGACAGTTCCCGTCTCCACGCTGCCCTCCGGCAGAAAACAGAATTTCCATTACAAATGGTACGAACATTAATGCTGAGCGGTGCGCGGTTGTTCCTCTATTTCCCAAAAGAGTGTCATGGCAGACAAGAAAATCCTGTCGAAAGACCCCGCCAGCATGATGTTAGAAAATCCTCCGTCCCTCTTTTGTTGTTCGTGATGCGCGACTCGATTGCAATTTTGAGCCAGGTCTGACGTGACTTACATGACGCTGGAGGACTGGAGTCGGGGATGCGCTTGGCAACCACGTCGCACCACGGCCGCCGTTGCCCGCAACTAACTGCAGGCAATATGTAATATTATATATTAATTGCGGGCAGTATGCAATACTGCACGTAGTTTTGCTGTCGCTCCATTTACACATAATCACGCTGCCATTTAGATAAGAAGACACCAGGTTGTTCAACCAGACAGCATTCAAAATGCATTCGCATTCGACGTCAACCACACGCACTAAGGAAAAAGGGGCAAATAACACTTTTGCGAACGCACATAAAACACATTTCATCAAAGTTCTACACGCTGAGAACACAAAAATAACACAAACCCGTAAACTTTGTACACGTTGAATACGTGTTATTTTGCCCTTTTGTTCCTAGTGACGTCGTTCCACCAGTTGGACGCGCACAAGCTCATGCGAGGCTGTCGCCCTCTGGGGACGCGTGATGGGCTCGGTGGTTGGGGCCGATGCTCGAGGAGGCGCACTGCACTCTATGTGACAACACAATGATGCGTGTGATTGTGACCGCTGGGGTGTTTGTCATTGCGCACAAATGCGCACATGCAATCCACGAACAACGAGCCTGCCTGCAGTATCGTCGACGCCCGCTCCGTGTCGAAGTGATGATGTGGGGCGAACGCCAGCCTAATCCGCGGACGACAAGGGCCCCCTCGACGATTTGATAATCGCGGTCGCTGCAACGATGGCAGCGTCCAGGGCAATCCCTGGCATGGACTTGCGCAGCCACTTTACTACGAAACTGCTGTCTCAACCTTCAGAACGATACATTGCTGGTGGAGCTCACCCCACCGTTATGGCTGCGAAAGACTGCTCAAGGACTCCCTCACCGCCATAATGTCGACAAAGGCGCTTGCCCATGCACCACACAGGAGTCATGTTCATTGTCCCAGAAACGTGACACATCATTGCACTGAACACGTTGCAGCAAAAGTGAGCAACCCCAAACTCAGCTCAACAACAACACACACACACCGCACGTAAGGTGTCTCTCATCCCCAATACGCCATCCAGCTCTTGAGGACAACACCTTCTGCACAGTTCGCATCTTCCAAACATACCAAAATAATATGTAATGCAAATGACCCCACCCAATGCAGATAGGAACCAGGGTGGCCATGCTGCTGTAGCAAGATCTTCTCAAACCTCAAAACATTGGCGACTTGCAAAATCGCCATCTCAGGGACAAAGGCGTCAATCTGAGGAAAACAAGCAGCTCTTCTTGCCCCTGGAGAGGTGACTACCCTCCCTGCTGCCCATCAAGCCCAACAACGCAGCCCGTCTCAAAACGCACCATGCGCCGAGCGCCATTCCATCCAACGAATATACCAACCAACAAAAACATTGGGCGGACGTTTCATCGGCAAAAAATGACCCTGGCCCGTGCAGCGATGCACACAAAAAACAGCCTTCATTCAACCAAAGGCACGCGCCCAAGCACTAACCGAACAGCCGCCTGAAAAAGTTGCCCACCATGTCGAACATGTCCGAGAACGAGTTCCCCTGTGGGGCTGCGGGAGCCGCCGCCACCGGCTGAGCCGTCTTCTCGGGCTCCTGGATCTGCTGCGGCGTTCCCTGGGGCCCGGCCTCGCCGCCTCCCGCGGCATCCGACGCTCCCACGCCGGTCACGCTTGCCTCGTTGGTTGCGTCGACGAGCGTCTCGACTTCGCCCAACTCGGTGGAGACGTCCGCGGTGGTCTGGGTCTGGGCCAAGCCCCTCTCGACTTCCGCCAGCGCGAACGCGACGGCCTCCGCCACGACCTCCGCGACGGCCTCGGAGACGGTCTGCGGGAACACGGGGGGCGGCGCAGCGTCAGGGCAACTGAAGTCGTGCTTGGTCTTGCGACGGGCGGTGAATGGCAGCCTGCCGTTGTGGGATCAATTGCGGGAGACCAACAGTGGCAAAACGAAGTGAAATCGCACAAGGTTCGATGCCCCAGAATGAAAGTGTCTGGCGAACTGCAATCTTCTCTTTTAGCATCAATTGCAGGAGACCGACAGTGGCGAAAATAAAAGACATCGCAAAGTTCGATGACCATGCTTAACATTGCTGGCCAAAACAAGGGAGTAATAATATGAAAAATTGCAAGCATCACAGTGTTGACGTGGGCCCATGTCATGGCACCAGGCAGTAAAGCGCTGACCAGCCCAACGCTGCTTGTCTCAGGCTGCCAGACTTCAGGAGTGTCAGAAGGGCAACCCACACTGATGTTGCGAATAGCGCCCGCAGCTGCATTTAGCACAACAGCATTTACTATCCCGGTGCGACTAAACAAGCTGATCCAAGCAAGTCAACAAGTGAATGGGTCCTCACAGTGGAAAAGGCTTCTGCAGTTCCCCCAGTTGTCTCTGCGGTCGCCTGAGCTTCCGCTATAGCCGCCACGAGCTGGGTCTCGTTGACTTCGGCTCTGGCAAGAGAATCTGCCGAAACATTGGGTCCCAGCGCATCAGCAGTGGCCTCGGCAATCGCCTTGGCAACCACCTCTGCCACTGCCCGCGCGTTGGCCACACCAGTGGCACCCGCGCTGCCCTGTGCCGACAGCTGAGCCTCGGCACTTGCCTCTGCAACGGCCACAGCAGTGGCATTGCCTATGGCAATCGCCGTAGCGTCGGCAACCGCGCTGGCGCTGCCACCTGCCTTAACTTCAGCAACAGCATCAGCAAATGCTGTGGCAATAGCGTTCTCAACTTCCGTCAGGACCTCAGTGCTTGCTGTTGCTGTGGCCTGTCCAGAAACACAACATCGGTCAACCTAATGCCACTGCAAGCAAGGGTGAGAGTGCACAAGTTGGTCCCGATCAAACATAGTCTACAGCTTAAGCTGCACTTAAAGAGACAGAAACTGTGTGAACTGGGCATTTCTACCAGTGAAAAGGAATCTAAATTTGAGAAGCAGGGGTTGAAATCGGTCACAATCATGTGTTGTAGCTGTTACTTCATGATGTGCAGGCTGAAATACCCAATAAGCACATTTCACTCTCCATTAAAATAGACATTCACAACAAGCCAACCAATACAAGCACTCACTCAAGGACATGAACATAGGTGCATACGGAAAGACAGACTCACGCTGCCACTGCCGCTGCCAACAATGTCGAGGGTGACCGATGTCTGTGCATCTGAACCATCCCCTGTCACCAAACACCACCAAATCATTGGTCTCAACAAGGCACGAGTGGTGACAGCAAAGCAGATATACTGTGCCCAAGTCAATCAAGAACTAGCATTCATATTATCTAATATCCTGACACAAAGAAAAGAAACACAAAAAAAGCAGCAATCCGCGTTTTGCTGATGATCACAAAGCTGGTTACGACAATCATCAAATCGCACTGTGACTCAGCCACACTCGACTGCCCAAGCCTGCAGTGTTGAGTCTATCCTGACAACCTATGTTCATGGCAGCTTGAAAAGCACCAGAACGCGGTCACAAAGGCATCAACAAATCTTTTTTAACTGCAGAAAACAAGACACATTTAGGGAAGGGGGTGGCCATGACAGGGTATCGCTTGTGGCGGATGCAGCAATCACCGCAGCAAACAATGTGCGAAATTTCCTGTGCGGGAGCTTGGAGCCATGATGCACATGGATCGTCTGAGCTGACCGGCGTTGCTCCATGAGGCATTAGTGCCATAGTTTCTTTGCTGAGCACACTGCAGTCGCCTTGGGAGTTCGATTCCCACCCTTGGGATAAACAAAATACTAAAGGATCTGCAGTGAAAAGACTTGTAGTTTCCCCAACAGACAACAGCCCTGATGGGAAAACTTCCAACAGCGTAGGGAGCTCGCAGGTCCAGTGCATAGTGTGCACTGCATCCGCTACCAACCACCTCATCTATTTCGTCAAGTTGGCGAGTTTGCCATCAAGTTCGCTTGTAAACAGGCTTGTTCGCTGGTTCGCTAGACAGCCATGCCCCTACAGTTCCGCTCGGATCCAGGCGTCGGCAGCAACGGCTGAGCCGGCACGCCAAAAACAACAAGAAAAATACAACAGAGCTGCAAGGCAAGCGCCTCCAATCCTACCCTTTCACGGCCAGGAATTCCTGAGGACCGTTCGTGTGGTGACAGAGGGACCAGCGCCGCGCCACTGGCGCAAATGAACCTCGGAGGGAACGGCGTGACGGCGCCGGGACCGACAACAAAACCACAGGCGTGACAACGGGGGGAAACGAAATGCCAGCCACGGGCCCAATCGGCGAACATCGTCCACGCCCTATCCCTGCTTGTCTACTGTTGGACCTTGATGCCGAAAGAAAGCAATGCGCAAACCGCAGATCGGGCTAGCTGCCATCCACGTCTGTCCATTCGAATCCCACGTGGGCGATCCATCATTGCGTGCCGTGATGATTACGGCGCTTGCTAGGCTGCTCGCTGGTAGCGAGGCAGACGCCCACATCGGCTGCTCCTGATTTTGGGCGTTTCCGGACTAGGAGCCCTCCACCAGCGGCCGGAGAACCCTTCGCCGTGCGGTCGATTGCCAAACGTGCAATCCGTCATGGCATGCCATATGGTTACATTCACTATCAGAAAACACCATGTTTGGGATGCCAACTGCGATGCCATTTCGACACAAAGTGGCGCCATCACAGTCTTTGTGATGGCACAGAAGCGGGTGTGATGCCATCAGTTAGTGTCAAATGGCATCGCAGTTTGCATCGCAATAATATCGGTTTCCACTGATGATTGCCGTCATACTACGCTTGCCGCCTGGCAGTGGAGCAGGTCCCCTTCTCGTTTGCTCACGCTTGCTGGCAGTTCCGCGCTGGCCGCCCTCCACCGACGGCCGGCGCGCTTCGCTGTGCTTTCGCCCCAAAACCCCGTGGCGACAAAATGGGTTCCGGTGCCCTCATGTGCCGTGGGCCGCGTCCCTTGGGTCAGTATTTCCGTACGGGAGGAAGCCGTGCTGCAGTCGCGAGTGTGAGCGACCGTCCACAACGTACTGCACAAGTGCTGACAAGGACCGCCGGGCCGCGTCCGCCCGCCAGCAGGGCACTCTTTTTCCCCGAAACCACCCAGTAGTTTGGCTCAAACTCCAGCGGACACAGGCGCCCGCCAGTAGTTTGGTTTGGACTCTGGAAAAACTAAAGACGCCCCAATTTCGTCGCTGACTGGCTGCCTGCCCGTATCCGGCCACTCACCGTCTTCTTGCCTCAGCCCCGTCGATCTGGGTGGGAGAGGTCCCGTCGCCGTAAGGGAAGGCACGGGCGCGCGGACGCGAGGGTGACACGGACGCCCCAGTCGCTGCCGCTGGGGCCAGGTGCCCGGCAAGGCCCAGCCGGCGCTTCCGCGGGAGCCCGCGACGGCATGCCCCGCGGAGCCACGGGGTCCGTGCGTGGAGCGCATGGCACGAGTTCGCCTCGGACCGTCTGGGCTTCCTAAGATCTTCGTCTAGACCGGCGTTTCGGCCCTGGCAGAGCGCAAGCACACACGGAATTAGCAAATATCGGGCGGTGCGTGTAGGGCTCCGACGGGGATCGGTGTGAGTGCACAGCTCCGCGGCAAGACTCCTGCTGTACCCCGCAGTCCGGGTCGGGGCACGAAATTTTCCATCAATATTTCTTCGCCCGTTGACCGGCAGCAATCTTTCATCCAGTGCTTCCACTCGAGCAGCCTCCAGCCACAGCACAGATCCTCCCCCCTTCCCCCGCCCCCCTGGTTGCCAACTCCGTCCCAGGGATCCACCGCCAAGCGCCGAGCTTGCCGTCGGACAGCAAGGAAGAGTGCACGCGGTCCACCCAACCAGCGTTGACCACGGCCCAGACGCGGTTGACCATCTGCGCCGGGCTCCCGCACCCACCTGGCACACTTGGGATCCAGCCAGCGAGTGCGGCCCTGTGGCGCACGTGCGCGCTGGAATGCCGAGCTGTCCGGCCGAGCGGCGCAGCCTCGGCGCTCGGGGCCAGCGGGCCCTTCCTAACGCGGGCACCGCACGGGGTGCGGCAGCGTCGCGGCGGTTGCTGCCTAGTGATGGTCACGTTTTCACGCGGGGGTTGGAACGCCGGAGCGGGCTTATATTGGCGGACACGTCCCCCCCCCCCCAAGGATGAACTCGGCCCTGCAAGTTTGTGGGATGTTCGCGATGCTGCATAATGAAGGCCCCCCTTGAAATGGGCGCTTGCAGGAGGAGGTCTTTCACGACTTTTGCGGAAGCGTGGTTTCGAACAAGTCATGACCTGCTTGCTGATTGTCGCTGGCAGTTCAGGCCTCTTCACAGCTTGTGCAGAATTTGTGGCAATCGTCTAGTCTCTTAGGATCATTATTTGTACTGCTGACGGATTAGATAACCGGGGCTAGTTTCACCTGCCAAGAGATCGGATAAATGCAGGCAAATGTTAATCTTGCCCCCAACCCACGTTCCTTCCTTGCGTCAATTTCACGCTAAGAATAATCAAGTCGACTTAATGCAGACCCTAAACAAGCAAGCCTGGGAAGCATTGGCAGCAATTGTCTGCAATGCACTGCAATTACGGTAAATATTCAACGTAGTTGTCCCATTGTCACCACCCACCCCACCCACCGGCCCCAGTACTGCCCGAATCGCATATAAAATACAATAAGTACCCCAGATTGATCAAGCCTACCTTACCCGCAAGCGAGCACACAAGAGAGCTGGTGCCGATATTAACGGGTTTGTCATTGACACAGACAGCGCGATGCCACTGTGCACTCCCCATGGATCATAGGGGCGGATACATGAGCCCTTCGTGAAAGCATGTCGATATTCATTGTCTTATTATCATGAGTAGGAATCTTCAAAGAGCAATCAGTTTATTTTTATTTACAATTTTTTTGCTTTGCACGGATTCTCCGTTCCTTATTATTCCACTAGTTTTATGGTGCTTTTGATATCCGTTGCCGTCCGTGGCACCTCGGCAACCAGTTCTTTTGTCCATTTCGTGGGGCTGCTCGAGGCCCAAAATTGAATTTATTCCTGGAGATATGGCCATTACTGCTGAGAGATCAAACAGCCGACACGTTAGTAAATAGTGAGAAGACGGAATTGGTAAAGGCATCGGAATCTAATCTCGTCAGATTTAAAGAATTGTCATGCTCATCCGATGATCGGTTGAACACGCCAATTCTTCACCTCTGAGCGAAAGCGACAAGTCTTGACGACTTACTGGCCCATATGTTTCAGCGTTGAGCTCCGCAAGATACTTCTAGCTAAGGCAAGCAGCTAAAACAAGCAATGGTAGGCATGCTTGTGGGTCAGTCCTAGCGCCAGATCGGATGGCATTCAAATGCAACGCCGAAAATGGGCTGAGGGTGCGCAGCAACGCTGTCATGGCACAAAGATACTGTGGCCAAACATGGGTAGCTCAAGCAGAGGCACACAAGCAGCCACCCCTATCTCGTTTCGGATTATTTTCCCACTTTCGAAATTTCAATTGCGCTATATTCCGTGCTCATTCTTTCGTTGCTATAAATAAACCTACGCAGCTCGCCAAAAGGCATGCATGCATCTGTTTGGACGATCAAGTGATTCGCCTATTCACAAAACTGCGCGAACCCCGGTGTACTTCGTGCTGTGCTTTGTAGCACACGGTATATATTGCACCATGAAAAATTGTTCTATGCGTCCAGCCGACCCCGGCAGCCCGGATCACTCTTGCCCTTCACAAGTGGTTTAGCATTTTGGCGCACTGGCGAATTCCAGACACTGCCACCATCATGACACCCCTGACCACCCAGTCTTCCGGCCGGGGCGTAACCGCGGGCAAGCGCACGCTGAGTATCGCCTTGTTCGGCACATCCCCACTGCCTAGTCGACGGCTGCTTTCGCCGCCGCAGCGCATTGTGTAAATGGGGCACTCGTAAGATCTCAATTTGCAGAGGTATGCGCTGCGCTCCGTTTGGTGCCCAACTGGTTTTAGACGCAGGACTGGCATCAGCGAGCATGGCTTCCCCGGAAGGGGTTCATCTAGGGCTCCAATCTGCTTGTTCCATCGGGCACCTGTTGGCATTCATGGCGCAATGTTCAAATGCACCAAATGTGCGTGCAGATGCGTTGGCTGAGGTGTCAATCAAGTTGGCTGCGTCAGATACGATTGTTTCTTGATTTCCATTGGAAGCCTGAGACAACAGCAGCGTGGTTGTCATGAACCTCTTGCAAACGCTTCGCATCCTCAAGGGATTGCTGTTGGCATGGTCCAGCAATAGTGTTATTGCCCCAGGCAAAGTAGCAGAAGTGTGCGCGAATCCTACGTTAGTTGTTCCAAACGTACTGCTTCCATTAGTAGGCAAGTTTTCGCAATGCTGTGTGGCTAGATTTTTGACCAACTTTGGCTCAGTTCACATGTTTGCGTGTGTCTGATGCACTTCTGCGTTGTTCTTCATAGACAGATAACATTGGATGCAGCGGCTATAGAAATTTAGAAAATATAATCTTGAGTGCTGCTCAGGTGGACACCCGGTGCGGCACCATCTTTATTTGCAGTACGGGTGATAGCACTGGGTACATGACATCACGCTCGGAAGTAAATAATGCAATGGAACTACCACCGGCGGACTGTGCGAAATTCTGAAATAGCGCATTAGGAGGTTGCAGGCAAATATAAAATGAAAGACATGGGTATCTGGGCAGAACTCCTGAGATTATTGTCAAATATTGGGTGAAGAATCACTGAAAGTTTCAAACGGGACCCTTGAAAGTTTCACGTAATACACGTTGCAGGGAGGACTGTTATCTTCAGCCCGCACACAATTTTCGCGTCTCGCAGAGTTATTTGTGCTCGGTCCAGTGCCTTTGTAAATATAATTAGACTTATGTGTCGCCACTGCCGCCAATTCCAGGTGGCTTATGCTCTGCGTGGAATTTCAGCCTCCCATGCGCATTTCAACGGACTACGATAGATTCCGTGCATTGCAATGCGCTTCTGGCCGCGTTTTACCTTGAATGACGATCCCAGACACACACAATCCACAGTCGCTTGTCCTTAAAGGCGCGATGGGCTTGTCCCAGGATGCCCCCTGATCACCCTCGACACTGCCTTCCTCCACTGGCACGTCAAGCCCGTCCCCCTCGAGGACCTCGCATTCGAAGTGGACACAGCTCATTGGGACGCCCGCCATCATGGAAAACTCCTGCCTGACTGCGTGAAGGTACGCCTCCGGTTGGAACAGGAGCCCGATGGGCACGATTCTGGGAAGACCCCGCCCGACGCATCCCTTCAGGAAAAACGCTTGGTTGACAAGGTCCTGGACCCAGTTGTCCATACATTCGCAATCCAGCGGCCCGCTGCAGTCTCTCCAAGGGAGCTCCCATCGAGACAGTTCAGTCATCAGTTTGAAGGTGTCTTCGTCAAGCGCCCCATGCCCGTCGATTGCGTCCAGGACTCGCCTCATGTCGGTGTGCACGCGGTCCAACACATCCTGACATATCCGCAATTCGTTTCTCAAGACCACTTGCAGGGGATCTCCGGGTGCGGCAAGATCCCCAGGGGGAGCATCCAGCTTCTGGATGTCCCCAACTTTGGGCAGGCACAACGTCCCATGATTTTCACCCGATAGCTTGCTCTTCATCTCAGTTTCGGAACTCCTCCCATCCATGGCACCTTCTTGAACACAGGCCCCTGGCGCCTCGTCCACATGTTGTTCGGATGTGGTCTCTTCGTTGTGTTCTTCTAAATTCACCAGAGTGTTGACACTGGCCCCTTCCTGTGCAGCCGTCTCCGATGCATCGATCGGCGCCTCGTGCACGGATTCTTCCATCACCCCACCAGCTCCCTCATTATTTTCTATGCGTTCTTTGGACTCAGTTGCCCCTTGCAATATTCTTGGAGAGTTCATTTCCTTTGTCGTTGTCCTCCACAGAAAATTATCCGCATTCATCGACATGTCGACATTAACTTGCCTCCTTGGGCTCCATGCCTCAACCACAACTTGCGGCCCCTGTCCCTTGGACTCAGACCTCTTTTGCTCAGGGAAGACAGCGGCTCCCTGCAAAAGGTCGTTTTGTACATCACCCTCCTGCTGCCCATCTTGCTCCACGACAGTCCTTGGAATCGCGGAGATCAAATGCTGTATATTCAGTCGGGCAATGTCCCATATTCTTTCTGTGGGCGGCTTTTCGCTTGCTTGCCCCAGCTTCGCCAGTTTGGTGTCAAGATTTCTTGCCTGCAGCTGCTGGAGAAATACGAGCGCACTCTTGTGAAGCCCAAGATCCTCAACTTCTGCGTCTTCAGATCTAAGCTCTGATATTGCCTCCCTGGGTAGCGGCAGCTCCATATTTAAGATATGTGCTCACATAGAGCTGAACATTAGGACCTGGATTGTATGGCAGTCAGGTATAGGCACAAAAACAGCAACGCATCATGCACCCTTGCGTCAAATCAATGCGGTGGTAAGGTAATGAATGAGTTAACCTCAATCTGTGTGTTTTAGTGTGTGAAAATTTGCCATGCAGCAGTGTTATTTGTTGCAACTGCTGTCAGCACCTCCATGTAGGGCTGCTTTTTCCATTCAACTCCCATGTATCTGCATAGTCAATTTGCACAAGCAGATGCCAGCCAATACCGAGAATTTCCAAGAAAGCTTCGATTGATTCAGCGATATTCGGTTCTATTTTGAAGCCAACTATATTACTGGTATAGTATCCCAGCAATTTCATGCAACTAAATTACGGAAATTAAACTCAGCAGATGAGCGTTTGCCTCCAGTACTGGAACGAAGCCACTCGCCCATGTTTTGATATTGCATACAAAGACACGCAAGACAGTTGGACCCAGGCTTTCCGCCATCTTTACGCACACTGACCTGAATTTCTGAATGGACCCTTGTCTGAATAGTCCATCTGTCTTAGAAATCGCTTCGCAGCCGCCGCTGTCTGTGATGTAGTCGTACGCGCACAGGAGGAAGTCTGGCTCATTTTCGCGCTTCCCCAAAAAACCGTAAACGGACTCGGTAACCACCTTCCGGAAGACGCCCAAGGCTTCTCCTTTGTTGAAAAATGTGTTGGAGATGCTCTGCGCCTGAAGTTTGATAACAGGGCAGACTTCAGCACCTCATGAAATATCCCAAGGAGAGTGGCATGGGAACGCAGATCAAGATTATAAATGGGAAGCTGCAATTCACTAGACAATTTAAAATCCACCGAATGTCAATATTTTTATTATCGAATGCATTTCAATCAGTAGAATCGCATCTCCTTCAGGCCAAGTGCATTAGCATTCCGGCGCAACCTCATGCCTGTTTTGCAGGGGCGGCAAGCTCGGAAGTTGCAATGGCGTGGCAAGGGCACTGCGTTTGCAGCAGGCGTGCGCGCCATTGGCTGCTCGAGCATTTTCGCTGATGCACGATAACCATGCTGAGTTCAGTCGACTGCGCACGATTTCCTTTACATCCA